AGGGGACCGCTCCCGGCATCTCCGAAGCTGCTCCGGCTTGGAAGCTGGGATGGGGGAGGTGGTTGTTGGGCAGAGCTATGGGGGGTGGTCTGTTGGATTTCTGCTGTGTAATGGTTGGGTGTTTACTGCCCTTTTGTCTGCAAACCCCTTTTCTTTCCCCAGATCCGCCAGAGCGCGGGGCCAACCTCTCCCGGTGCCGCTGTCACCGTGGTGCCACTGTCGCCGTGCTGCGCGGGCAGGAGAGTTCATAAAGCCCCCGGGGGGGTTGCTGCGCTGCAGGGACAGGTGCCTGTAACTTTAACCAGCGCTGCCTGGCCGGGGGTTGTTTTTCTAAGCCAGGCGGACTCTGAAGTGGAGCATTAACCCGTTTGGGGGAGATCAAAACGCCAACAAATCCGTGTTTAAGGCACGAACTGCGCTGCTTTTTAACTTGCTGAACCTGGGCGTTAAATACTGATGTAGGGATCCGCGCCTCGGGAGCCGGGGAGACCTGTACCATCCCCTTCGCCGTGCTTGGGCACGGCGTTACTGAGCTCCTTTCCGTCCGTTACTCCCATCTGGGTGTCCTGGGGTCCTTGATTTGCAGGCGCCGAGGCAGGAAATGGGATCTTGATAAATATTTAGGGCTGTCAGCCATCTTAGAGTTTGGGATTGCTCCTGGAAAAAAAAAAGGACATTTTCCCATTATCTTCTGTCACATGGACAGCGTATCCTCTTACAGGGCCGTGGAACTGCTGGGTACAGCTGGAGAGTTCTGGGTTTGTAACAAATCCCCGCGGCCTTGGGGATGGCTGAGGGGGGCCTGGAGAGCAGGGAGAGTCCCTGGAGCGCAGGGACAGTCATCTCCAGACAGTACCTGGCTGGTCCCGAGCGTGCGGGTCAAGTCAGACCGTCCCTTCCACGTGTGGCTTCATGGCAGGATCCCCCGCGCGGTTGGGATACGGATGGGATCGTGTGGTACCTTTGGGACTTTCGGTGCTGTATAGCAGGGTACAGCTGAGGGTGTGATGCTCTGCAGCTCCTCCCGCCTTGCGGGGTGCTGCTTGTGCCCTCGGGGTCCTGTTCCTGTTGCTCTGTGGCAGCTCCGAGCTGGGAGAGTGTTCCCAGGGCAGCTAAAAGCTGCTGGTCTGGGCAGTTATTCCGGAAGAGTGAGCAAGGAATGACCCTGATCTCATCTTCTTGCAGAAAGTGCTTCTCAGAGTAGGCTGTTAGGTAGGTTTGACACTGCTGTATTCACTCTCTCTTTTTTTAGGATGGCTTTATCGTTTTATCTGTAGGAAGGATTGCGGTAGCTGTGCCAAAATGAGGTTGAACAGACAGGGACAGCCCGCTGTCTGCAGCACGGAGCCAGGAATTGTTGCGCTTCCAGGAGAGTTGGTCATTCCTGTAGAAACAAAAGCCAGCTCTTCTGGCTGGGGGCCTTGGCTGAGAGGTGAGTGTCAGGAGGTAGTTGTTCGTCTCCCATCGCTCAAGGTAGACTGGGTGTCGTCTTCTGCATCGCTGGGCTTGGTAGAAACCCGTCACCCGTGCTTAGCGGAGCCTCAAGGACCCCCCCGCCAGACCCCCCTCATCGCTTGGGTCTGAAGCTGGGGTAAAAGCGAGGAGACCGTGGTGGTTCCCTTGCCTGGGGGCAGAGCTAAAAGGAAAACCTGGATGGATGCTGCAGTTCCCTAATGCGTTAACCATGGGCAGTAACACCCCTCGGCCCCGGTAGCTGTACTGCAGCTTTTCCAGAAAAGCAGCTGCTGTTTAGATAGGAAGTTCACAGTGCGCCGTCATGGGAGAGGGGACCCTGGGAATGGGCCCTGGGGGAGCAAGCCAGTGACCGCGGTGAAGATGTCTGGTGTGCAGAGTGGCCCAGATGGGCGTCAGCGTGTTTTGGGTCTGGGAGGAGGTGGAATGCTCCCAGCCCGGTGCCTCTGCCGAGCTTACGCACTGGATCAAACCCTGGCTTGACCCCCTGCTTCAGTCACGGCCTTTGCTCTGCAGAGCTGCAGCGCTGAACCGTGGGAGCTGCGGGTGACGGGGATGATCCTCGTCTCATCCCGTGCGGAGTAACTGCTGCCGAGGGGGTTCCTTGCCGGGAGAGGCCGCAGGGAAGCGCTCGCCCGGACGGCTTTACATGGGCTTGCAGGAGGAGTTGGAGGTACCTCGGAGCTGTGCGTGCTGGACCTGGGTGTCCGTCGTTATTAGGATTTATTCAAGTAAGATTTGGTCTGTCGGGTTTGTGGAACAGCACTTGGGATTTCCAGGGGGGATATATATTGGAACAGGGAGGTCCCTGAAAGTGTTGATGCCAGTTTATTTCCAAGTTGTTGGCCTCATAACCTGCAGAACTTACGGAATCACAGGAGGGTTGGGGTGGGAAGGGACCTCAAAGCCCCCACCCAGTCCCACCCCCTGCCATGGGTAGGGACACCTTCCATAGCCCAGGCTGCTCCAAGCCTCATCCAGCCTGGCCTTGGACACTCCCAGGGATGGGGCATCCCCAGCTTCTCTGGGAACCTGTCCCAATGCTCCCACCCTCTCTGGGAAGAATTCCTTCCTGGTACGTAAAAACCCCATTGTTAAAACCAGTAATTCCTCGATGTGTTGGCAAACATGCCCCGCTTTCTCCACGGTGCAGGTGGGACTCGAGGCCTGTGCACTTGGGAAGATGCCTGGAGAGTTCAGTTCACCCTTCCTTGTCCCAGATGAGGGAAGGAGCCTTTTCCACGTGTGTTGTTTTGTGTTGGTGTCAGGCTCCTTGACTCATCTTGTTTGCCTGCAGCTTTTCCTCTGTTACGAGCCTGCTGTGCCAGTCTGGGGAGTGGGCTTGGGAAGGCATCGTAGGGTTTTTTTCCCCCCTTCTTCCTTTTCGATGATGGGGTAGAGAGTGCTCGTTTCAGTTCCTTGTCTCTCCCCATCCAAAGACATCTTTACCCTGCTGTCACCCACAGCCTGAGTACGCCAAATGAGGTATTACACGTTTCCCTTCTGTGCAGGAGTTCTAATGCTCCTCTGCTCCACCACTTCTCAATTTTGACCGGATTTCGGGTTTTACATCTCTTTTGTTCCTTCTGAATGACCGTAAGCCCTTAGTGTCTTACAGAACCGTGCTTAGATTTACTCTCCTGCCCGGGTCTGGAAAACCAGCCTCGCTGCCCGTGTCCCCACGGCTGCACCCCGGGAAGCAGTTTGTAGCAGCTATTGCTGGAGGAGGAGCCCGCGTGGGTTATGTCCTACTCGCATGGATTGCTGGGAGCACGTGAACTCAGGCTTGCTCGGCGGAGCATGCAGGGTGTTTGTGTGCTGGGGATCGCCGAGGGAGTGATTATTTAAGGCTGGGGTGAGGAATGGGCTCCTGAGGACCTCAGTCGCTTCCCTTTGGTTTGCTGCTGGCTGGCAGCCGTTTACTGGGAGCGCTCATCATGTGCCTCAGCTGGCTGGCAGCCCCCTACTCTCCTTTTCCGACCAGCAAGATACCTGGAAAAGACTTCTTTAGGAGTTTTTCAGAGCTGGGATGTCGGGGATGTTGGTCTGTGTGACTCCCCGAGGAAGCTCCGTTCTCTGCCCTCCCTACGTGCAGCGCCGGGGTCTCGCCGGGGTGCTCTTCCCGGGCGCAGAGGTAGAGGCAGGCTGTGGGTGCAGAAGGGGGGGTTCTCAGTGCCGTCCTGCCCCCCCTCCATGCTTCAGGGTGTCCTTTCCTCTGCGAAAGGCTGCTCAAGGGGGTTCCAGAACTCTTATTCCGTGTGTAAGGCAGCGTCACTTCTCTTTTCCAAGGATGCTTTCATACCTCTTGCCTCCCCTGAAAGTTAGCAGAGTGCTTCCTGGAGTAACCCATGGAATTTTTGCCCTGTCAGCACTTGGTGGCTTAGAAAAACGTATTCCTGAAGGATTCTGTTGGTGTCGACTTGGAGCAGGGGCCTCGGTGCTTGCACAAGCCAAGGAATGAGGCTTGGGCTGAATTGCAGGGAAAAACCTGTTCCGTGTCCGTCTGGCAAGAAAACTGCCCTTGTGGATAACGTTTCAAAGACCTTTGTTCTGTTTTCCCTCTGTTTCAACACCTTCTTCCAACCGCTTGCAAGGGCTTTGAAGAAACCTGGCTTTAAAGGGGGAGCGAGTGTTGCGTTTGTGGGGGTTTTAAAGGTTCTTTCCGGATCAGAGATGCACAGGGCTTTGTTCCAGGAGCACAGGAAAGCGGGTTTTCCACTACGTTAGTGTTTTGGTGATGGCTTTTTTTTTCTAAAAAGGGGGAACCTAAGCAAAGCTCAATTTCTCTCCCCTCCAGGATTTTCCTCGTATAATGGAGGAGGGATGAACGGCACAAGCACAATGATGGATTTCCTGGAGGAACCTCTTCCTGGTGTGGGGACCTATGAGGATTTTAACACTATAGATTGGGTGCGAGAGAAATCCAGGGACCGGGACAGGCACAGAGAGGTAAAATTTATTGCTTACTCCTTGTTGGCACTGAAGGCAGAATAATTAACTCCGTTCTGATTCCTGGACTAGGAAGGCACGTCCGAGGATGGAGGGGTTGCCCTTGGGTTGGGAACCGAGCGCAGGATCGGTAGTTTGAGGAAAAGGAGCACTAAATTGAATGTTCTGTGGCTTATCAGTCGCTGTTTCTCTGCTGAAGGCTTTGATTTATTGAAGAAGCCTTGCTGGATTTTGGATGCCCACCTTAAATGCCGTGACGGCACGTTGTCTCCTGCCGCCTTCGCCTTGCTCGAGGCGGAAGCAGGGGGAAACCTGCAGCCCTGCTCACGGAAGGCTCGGAAGAGTTGCGTTGCTGTCGCACGGCTGATGCGGGAGGAGTCTGAGCGCCCAGGTGCCATGCTTCGATGCACACCGGGTTGTGCCGCTCACGCGGCTGCGCCTGTGAATGAGTCCCTCTCTGGAGTTTTCATGCTGCATGGTTGAGAAAACTAAGTGCAGTTCTTTCAGGATTCGTTCCCAGGACTTCACCGCTCCCTGCAATTAAAGGAACCTGCTTAGTCAGCAAGGGGTGCCTTAAATAACGCACCGCTGTCCCCACTATGCTCACGAGAAACCCTTGCTGGCAGAGCTCTCGTAGGGTGGGGGCTGAACTCACTGGTCTGTTTGCTTCCCAAAAGACTCTTTAATTATTTTATTGTCCTGAGCCTCACAAAACAACCTGTGTCTTGGTAACAAGCTGGACGGACTCCCCGCTCAGCGTGTGAGTGCAATCACAGAATCATGGAATGGGTTGGGTTGAAGGGGCCTTAAAGCCCCCCCAGTCCCACCCCCTGCCACGGGCAGGGACACCTTCCATAGCCCAGGGTGCTCCAAGCCTCATCCAGCCTGGCCTTGGACACTCCCAGGGATGGGGCATCCACAGCTTCTCTGGGCAACCTGTCCCAGTGCCTCCTCACCCTCTGCAGGAAGAATTCCTTCCTCATGTCCCATCTCCATCTCCCTCTTTCCGTTTAAACCTGTCACCCCTTGTCCAGACACAAACTGCTCTTGGGAAAAGCCCCCGCCAGCTTTCTTGTAGCCCCCCCAGCCACTGGAAGGGGCTCTGAGGTTTCCCTGGAGCTTCCCTTCTCCAGGCTGAACCCCCCCAACTCTCCCAGCCTGTCAATAACAATAATGCCCAAACCTGAGCCAGAACAGTCCCAATTATGGGGCTCCACACTACCTCCCGCCCAAAAACCTGTTCCCGTCTATGGATTGAGGGTGCAAACCCAAGAGCCTTCTCGCACATCACACACGGGGGGGTGTGCAAGGGCGATGCCTGTCAGTGTGGAACAGGATGGTTTGTTTCCCGTCTGCAGAGCATCTGTACACAGAGGCTGCTTCTGTCTTTATCGAAAGGAGCTGAAACCGGCGAGGGGTGTAGGGTTGGTCCAGGGAAAAGAGAGATGGAGGAAAGGGCTTTGGCACCCACCCCTGCCTTGATTCCGTAGCAGTTCCGCTCGTGCTCCTTGAAAGACACAAATCCAGAGACAGTGACCCCAAACGACACTCATTTGGGCAGAAAGGATTCTTACTTGATTTACTCCTCATTTAGCGAGTTGTTTGCATCAGTGTGTATCCCCTTTTTATCTGGGGATAATAGCGGTGTACTGGAATGTTTCCCTTGGGAGCGCAGCCGGGTAAGTGGGGCATGCAATGGCTGTTTGTCACCCCTTTGTCTGCCTGTCAGAGCAGTGACACGGCTGCAGCCGTCCCTGCCAGGCACAGGCAGACAGGGCCGGAGCCTCGTAGGAGTTCACCCTCCTGGGACAGGCTGGAATCCCGCTTCCTAGTGCCACCAGCCCTGCCCATTCCTCTGTCTCGGTCCTAAACCTGCCAGCGGTCTGGTGTCTGGCTGAACGGCGCTTGGCAGAGTCTCCTCCGCTCACAGCAACATCTGGTTTGCATTCCAGATGTCGAGGCAGTAGCTGGAGGCTGTGAACTGCTGGTGACAGCTTCTGTTTGCTCGCCCGGTTGGTGGGTATTGGTGAGTTGCTGGGGGCAAAGAGCTGGAACAGATGCGCTTGTGGCCTCAGGGTATTGGTGACTTGCTGTTACTAACAGGTAACGGCTTTAAAAGATCAAGGGGTGAATTTTGTCTTGGTTGTATGCAGAAGAGACCTAGGAGGAAAGCGTCACTGGGATACTTCCTGGTTTTGCTGGGACAAATGGGAGCATCCTTGACCTGTTGTTGTCCATCTGGAAGCCGGGCTGCTGTTTCTGTGCCGGCTGTAAGAGCAGACACTGCCTGGTGCTGCTTCTCTCACCCCTCAAGGCAGAGCGTGTCCTGGTAGCTGCTGTTTGGAATGTTAGGGGCTGTTTTCCACTGTCAACGTCACAGTGTAGTTTTTGGAGCATTTACACCAAAGGACATTTAACAAGTTGTTTTTTCTTTCTGAAAAACCCTCTTGCAGATCACCAGTAGAAGTAAGGAATCCACCTGGGCACTGATCCACAGCGTGAGCGACGCCTTCTCCGGCTGGTTGTTGATGCTGCTCATCGGGTTGTTGGCCGGTAAGAGCAAAACTCCGCTTTTTTAAATCCGAGTCCTGGTTCTGCAGGGCAGCACCCGGATGGATCCCTCCCCCTTTCCCAGGCGGACTGCCGGGGGTGTTTTAAGTGACTCCAGAAGGAAACTTTGGACCCCGCGCAGCAGAAATATATCAGTTGGGTACGGCTCTTCCCAACAGGAAGCAGCCGAGCTTTCACCACGAGGGATGAAACGAAGCCTTGGGTTAATATTTACACGGGAAAGCTGCTAGCCAGTCTTTCGTTAACTGGGAGATTTGCTCAATGATTACTGCTGCCTCTGGGGCTTGTGCGGGCGCCTGCTCGCGCAGATCTGAAGTCTCTGCCCCTGGGCTCTGTGTCGAGGTGGTGTTTTAGCTGAGAACAGAGCTGATGGCAGCGTTTGTCTTAACAGGAGTCTTGAAGAAAAATCACAAGTGCCTTGACGATTCTTCTCTTAAAATCGGAATTCCTTTCCGGGCTGGCTCTGTGTGCTTTGTTTCACTTGGCACAGTTGTAACTTTCCCCTCTTTTAAGTCGGGATGGGGAATGTTTTCGCTGAGTTCAGTGTTATTCCTGTCGCAGTCCCAGCGTTGCTGGCGTACCTCTTGGGCCGGAGACCGGTGATGTGTTTCGCCTGCATCCCCCAGCAGTGCAACACGGCCCTCCCCGACTGCTTCCTGCACCGTGTTTAATGAGCGCTCTTCCCACGAAATCGGGAGGAATGAGTTTCTAGGGATGCGGAGGGGGGTTGAACACACTTTGCCATGGTCAGCCTGGGAAACATTCCTCGCTGTGCTTTGTCTCCTGCCCTGCTCTGCAGTGTCTCTACTTCAGCAAATCTGCCCATTTGGCTCTCTGCAGGATAACAGTTAATTGTAGCCAAGAAGTATTTGTGCTGCTGTTTGTTGGTAGGTGAGTCAAAAATTAGTAGGGCAGACTGTAACCTTCAGACTGGAGTCTGTGTAAGGTGATTAAATTACAGGATCACGGGGTGGGTTGGGTTGAAGGGACCTTAAAGCCCCCCCTGCCACGGGCAGGGTCACCTTCCATAGCCCAGGTTGTTCCAAGCCTCATCCAGCCTGGCCTTGGACACTCCCAGGGATGGGGCATCAAATTTTCTCTTTCTTTTTCTCTAAACTAGGTTCCTTAGCGGGTCTGATCGACATTTCTGCCCACTGGATGACAGATTTGAAAGAAGGAGTGTGCTTAGCCGGCTTCTGGTTCAACCACGAGCACTGCTGCTGGAAATCCAACACCACCTTTACCGACAGAGACAAGTGTCCCGAGTGGAAGAGCTGGTCCCAGCTGATCCTTGGCCACGGAGAGGTGACGTGTTCTTGCAGCCCAGTGTCCCGTTTCCCTGCTGGCATCGTCCCTCGCTGCTCACCTGGGTGTACCCGCCAGAAGCGCAAGCTCGGGGTGGTTCGGTGGTTCCACGTTGGCCCTCGGGGTCTCCCAAGGGTGTAAATGAACTCAGACAAGTTGGGTGGTGTCCTGGGAGGGGATGGGGAGAAGCAAACTGTCGACACGCTTACGAGGACCGTGTTTCACTCGTGTGAGACTTGCTGCTGGGAGGAGGGTTTGCACATGGATGAGGTAGAGGGATGCTGGATGAGCTCAGGTCTTGCGTTTCGGGCAGCTCCATCCAGTGGCTGGGACAACACGGATCCCTTGTGTCACCCTGTTTGCTATCTTATATAAATGTCTTTGGGGAGACAGTTGGTTTGTATCCCATGACCCAGCACATGTCCCTTGTCTGTGAAACCTCCAATTTAACTGCAGTTCTCTTCATTTTTGGCTGATAACTCCATGTGAGTTTCCCTGCTATTCCTGTGCACTCACTTCCGAGCCCGGCTGGACGTGATCGCGCTTGAAATGACCTAATTTGGGCAATTTCTCTGCATTTCAGGGGGCTTTTGCGTATATCCTCAACTACTTCATGTACGTTACCTGGGCCCTGTTGTTCTCCCTGCTTGCCGTGTTACTTGTGAAGGGGTTTGCTCCCTACGCCTGTGGCTCGGGGATCCCGGAGGTGAGTGAGGATGAAAGTGGGCTGGGGTTTTTTTAAGGTGGGGTAGGGATCCACCATCCAAAGATTCCACATGCCTGCGTGGAAGAACAGTTTCTGGCATGTTAGGTGGTGGCTTAATGTACTGATTTCTTCCAAACTATTCCTGAAGCATGCCGTTAAGTACTTCAGTCGCCACGTAATCCCTCCAAAAACTAACGTGCCTGTGGAGCTGTCACAGGGGTATGGAGGAACGCGCGCGTTGGGGTGAGATGGGCTGCAGAAGCTGCCCTCAGCCTGAGGGAAGGACACAAACAGCCGTTTCTGCCTTCGTCCAGAGGGATATTTTGACTGACTCTCACTTTCCCTTGCTGGGAGGTTGGAATCTGGAAGCTGAGGGCAGGATTGGGAGCACCTAGTAAAACAGGAGCTCTGCCCAGGGCTTGACTGAAAGCCTGTAGAGCTTTGTGTGCTTGACTTCCAGATCAAAACTATCTTAAGTGGTTTCATCATTAGAGGCTACCTGGGCAAGTGGACGTTGATCGTCAAAACCATCACCCTGGTGCTGGCGGTGTCCTCCGGGCTGAGCCTGGGCAAGGAGGGGCCCTTGGTGCACGTCGCCTGCTGCTGTGGGAACATCCTGTGTCACCTCTTCACCAAATACAGGAAGAACGAAGCGAAGCGCAGAGAGGTACGGAGGGGCACCAGTGGTAAATGGGGCGGATCCGCGGGCACGGCGCTTGGCGCCGGATTTCGGCACGGGCTCGGCACGCCTCCGCTCGACGCTGGCTTGGGGCAGAAGCCACCTCAGTTCTGAGGTGACACCGCAGTGTCTCCCCAGCGCGGGTCGTCGTCGCGTTTGCTGGCGCTGACCTTCTGCGGCGCTCGTTGGCGTTTGCCATGCGCCTCCATAACCTGCGCGGGGCCTGCGTGAGGGACCGGGATTCGGCCGCAGGAGCGGAGCAAAGGGCTTTGCTTTCGGGGAGCAGCGATGGGCATGGAGTAAGCACCGAGCTAACATCTAACGTGAAGCTCGGGAGTGCTCCTCACCGTGCTGTAAGGCTTTTCCCTGGACAAGTCACTGGAGGACAGTTAACGTGAGATGCCAAGTGTCACGCTGGCCAATTTACCTTCTGCTAGACCAAACCCCGCAGCGTCCGGCAGAGTTTGGGGTGACCCCCAGCACCCCTGGTTACTGGGTTACCCTCTTCTGAGAAACGGTGTGAATGTGAGATAGGCAAACCTGGGGAAATCACTGTGTTCTGGAGGTGAAACTACTGCTTTTCTGTTTTACTCACGCTTCGAGGTGAAAGCATAGTGTGAGCGCAGCTGAAACAGGGAAAGGCAGCTTCCAGTAATGCCACTTCTACTGATTGGGGATGGGACTGTTGAAACACTGATGCCAATGCTTCTGTGTAGTTCCTTCTCCCTAGGGAATGTGCTCACTCCCATCCTTCCCCTGCTGTCTTTCAAGCAGGTCAGACCCTGGCTGTGCACTCACCGGGGAGAAAAATCCGATGAATGTAAAGACAAACTAAAAAGGGGGAAGGTTGGGGGGGAGCTGAAAATGTCTGACTGTGGTTTGTCCCTCAGGTGTTATCGGCAGCGGCGGCTGCTGGAGTGTCTGTAGCTTTTGGGGCACCGATTGGAGGAGTGCTCTTCAGCCTGGAAGAGGTAAGCTCAGCGCTTTCTGTTCGCTCTTGGCGAGCTGTTCTGCTGCAAGAGCTGGTTTAAAATACGCTCTGCTCCTGATGGCTTGGGTGTGGGAAGGGGAGCCTGTTGCTTGGTGCTGTATTTACAAGGCCAAACAACCTAAAAACGTAGTGGGTTTCAGGTAATTCTTACTTATTTTGGATGTTGTTTCTCCGTAGCTTTGCAATGAGCCCGTTGGTTCTCCTTGGTCTGTGTGCGCTCGCACTGACTGCTCACAGCCTCGGCCGTTTGCTGTCTGTCCGCTCTCTCCCGACAACTCTGGCCCAGGGTGCCTGGGCACAGACTTCTCTGCCTTGCCAAACCCCCTTTCTCCGAGGAACTTCTAATCCATGTTCTCTTGATCCAGAGGTGGAATGGATCACCGCTGCGTGCTCAGGGCTTAGCTCAGAGGAGGAACAGGGCGCTTTTGCTCAGCGGAGCAATGGTTGTGCTGGCGGCTGGGGCAAGCACCATTGTTTTGGCACTTCTGCCTTTGCAGAGCACGCGAGGCAGATAGTTCTGCGGGTGCAGCTCATAGCCGGCCTGCAACAGCCGTTATTGGCAGAGCAAAACGCCTCCACTTCGGGGATTCTAGAGGGCGCTTGCCGCGTTGGAAGCGTGTAGGCCGGGACCCTTCCCGGTCATTGCCATCCACGCTGGACGGGAGCTTGGAACCAGGCTGAGGTGCTGGGCTGGAGAGGAGGGTGCACAGTCAGGGTACATCGACCCCAGGCCTCGCTTTTACTTCATGGAGCAGTATTTTGGTTCCTAGGCAGCGGTCGGTCTTGTGACAAGTCTTGAAAGTGACTGAGTCTGCTTTGTCTTCCCTTTTCAGGTGAGCTACTACTTCCCCCTCAAGACCCTGTGGCGATCCTTCTTCGCTGCTCTGGTCGCCGCGTTTACCCTTCGCTCCATCAACCCTTTTGGGAACAGCCGCCTGGTCCTCTTCTACGTGGAGTTTCACATGCCGTGGCACCTTCTGGAGCTTGTGCCGTTCATCCTTTTGGGAATATTTGGTGGCCTTTGGGGAGCTTTCTTCATTCGCAGCAACATCGCCTGGTGCAGGCGCCGCAAAACGACCAGGCTGGGGAAGTACCCGGTGCTGGAGGTGTTTGTGGTGACCGCCATCACCGCCGTTCTGGCCTTCCCCAACGAGTACACCAGGATGAGCACCAGCGAGCTCATTTCGGAGCTCTTCAACGACTGTGGGATTTTAGACTCTTCCAAACTCTGCGAGTATGTGAACGATTTCAACAGCACCAAAGGGGATGACCTGCCCGACCGAGCCGCTGGCCCAGGGGTTTACACTGCCATGTGGCAGCTGGCTCTGGCCCTTATCATGAAAGTCTTCATCACAATCTTCACTTTCGGCATGAAGGTGAGAATTGCCTGTCAGGGAGCTTGGTCAGGTGGGTCTGAAGCCCGTGGGTACACTGCCTGGGTCTGAGCTTCCCTGCAGTGGGGTTCAGCCAGTGGAGCTGAGCATCTCCCCCTGCCCCCCACCCAGTCTTGTGGTGATCCACCCGGAAAGGTGACCCCACCACAGAGGTTTGGACATTGCTCAAGGGATAATCAGATCTGGGAGAAAGATGCACAACGTGTGGGAAAGCTGAGGGACAGGCGTGTAAAGGGGAGGGGGGGGGGATTCTCTGACTTCGAAGAACAGGAGCTTTCGGAGTCCTGGAGCAGCCGGAGCGCAGAGGGGAAACGTGCCGGCACTGGCTCTGCTGGGTGTCACTGGTGCTAACTGCAGGCACCCCCCTGCTCACGGCGGAGTTTCAATTCCTGCCGGGGGGGGGAGGAGGATGGTCCCCCCACAGTATGTGGAGTAGGGAATGTCCTGTGCCCACCGTGAACACGTACTCGTGCGGTTGGAACGGCACGGGGGAGTGTCGGTGTGCAGGTGAAACTTTGATATCCTGGGGGGCAGTAAGCTTCTGGAAAAAGCTTGTTCTGTTCCACACCGAGCTCTGGGGTGGCCATTCCTCCTGCTCAGAGAGGAGTAAATTAAAACTCTTGCAAGAGTTTAGGGCGTGAGGGTGCAGGATGGGCAGAGGTGATGGAATGGGT